ATCTACTACTAAAAGTACTACTCGAACACTAGTTTTTGATCACAAAATAAACTTCCTTTCTAATGCTATATTCCAATTGTTACGGTTTTGTATATGAAGAGGCATTTCTATGTATATACATATTATATATTTTTCGAATTTCATACTATATAAATTATGAGCAAACATATGTACAGGCAACAAAAAAGAACATGATATTATAATTATGTGTATACTGCAATAATTTTTAACTTTCATGTATTTTTGCAGCAATAAATTAAAATTTTTATTAATACACTAGTATAACAGTTCATATTATATATTTTTAACTAATTGGTATACATGAAAGTGTATATATAATAATAATAAAATATAATTAATTATAACGAAATTATTTTGTGAAGCTATAATAATTTATATAGATTAAACTTTAATGACTTTTCTTCACTTTTAATAATTTGGCCACCTACCGTCCATAGCTCATTATTTGGTTGGTTTCTTTTATTCATTATCGTGCTATTTATATATTAAATTAACATAACATAATACTATGAACACATGTATATATGGTCTGCATATGTATATGTATGTTCTTTTAACCTCTTAACATTGATTGTAGAATGATAAATAAAAATATGAAAATAGTAATTGCACACCGATTTTTATATATGGAAAATTTAGTTGCATGGTTATTATAGGTAAACATTGGAGATTACTAACAAATTTTTAATGTTTTATATTATTTTCGTCATAAATCGTAGCATTAATGTGCATAATATCCCAATAAAATGCCTCATATAATAGTTAACAAATTTTCATTATTTTCTGTACTCAAATCGTATAATGAAATATAGAATCTAAAAATAAAATAGGCAGTTTACAAACAGCTGTTTGTTACAAAACAAACATTTTTATAAAGCAAAAAAAATTGAATGTGTAGTAGCATGTCCAAATGATAAACAGGAAATGGCAGTTGTCAATAGATAGCGTCGCAAACAAAAGGAAAAGCATGTAGCTAAATGCAAAATAAACTGCAGTCTAAATAATTCAAAAGAAAAAAAATAACTATTTTTCCTAAGTACGTATATAAAAGAATAATAACAACATTCAAACAATTCTGTTTGAACTACATACATATATGAATAAAATTCTTATACAACATATTAATTCTTTGACATATAAATCATACATATTGACTGTCAACAAATTTAATTGTATTGACACTTTGAATAAAAAGTTTGAAATAGTTTTGTCAACTTTCATTTATGGAATTGTTTATTTAGCAAAATTAATAAATTGATTTTTTTTAATTTTTATTTATTTCTTGTGCTAAAGGCTATAAAATTTTAAAAAAATTTCAAGATATTTATATTAAACTTGAAATATGTTCTTATACATATCATATTCATATACATACACATATAATGAAAATGGCTTATAAAAATATTACTAATAAAAACTATTCTTGCATTCCTATACTTTTAATCACAGAAATGAAAAAATAATTAATATTCAATATACAAAAATTTTAGGTTATTTAATTTAAATGTTAACACTAGAATTGAATACAAGACTATTTCTTGCATATATTTGGATTGTATTGAAATAAAAAAACTGTTATACATAATTAAAATTTGTTATGCTCGAGTAGTTTGTTTCATACCGAGCATTAGATTTCCAAACTAAAATAAAAGGGCCCGTCTATATCAAGATTAATGTATAGAAATAAAACTTGAATGACTTTTGGGAGGCAAATTTTCAAAAATTATATAAAATTTTACCGTTAGTAATATTGACCGTCAAATTTTGATATAATAGAAAATTATTTCTCATAATAGCTTAATATAAAATGTAATTATATTTATATACATAAGTAGACATGATCTAACAGTGCTTCGGGAACAGAAAGACTTCTTTAAGATTATCTATAACTTAAGTACCGTACATTAACTACTATACTTGGCTGCTGAACTAACAGTAATATTTTTTTATTTCTTAATATTTTTATTTTAATAATTTTATTTCTAAATTTTAGTCTTTTGCTTAAAAAATAGAAAAAATTGATAAGAGCCATTTTCTAGCAATAACTTATTCAAATAGCTTATAACCATTTTAAATGTAATTTAAGTCTAGATAATATCTCCGAAACTTTCTAGGAATTCAATTCCTTTGATTGTAATTTGTTTTTCTCCTCTCCATAAATTTTATATTTTCATTTATAATTTTTTTTTTAATCCAATTCAAATCATTTTTTTTTATAAATAAAAATAATAACTATCGCTATAATGGTTCAATGTAGTATTGACGGGAGAATACCGGTTATAGATTTTTTAAAATTGCTTTAACATTATTATAAAATAAATTGAATAAAAACTCTGTTCTACCATAATTCATACATTAAATTTCTACTATTTTATTAAAATCACTATAAAATTACGTGCTATAAACATGAACATGAAATTATTATGTTGGTAATCGTTGTAGGAAGCAATTGCCTTTAAAATTGGGAATTTTTTTTTTTTTTTGAAACTTAATTTGTACCATTTATTTTAAAGTTAATATTGTTATAAAAATTTAAGTGTATACAATAATGCTTTTCAAATAAGTAAATTTCAATATAACACACATTTTAACAGGGCACAGAAAGTAGAATACGCTATGAATTGAAACTTGGAAACTTCATAAAAAACTCATGAAATTCACATCTTTAGTCTAATTTTTTTTCCCAGAGCTATGTTTTGAGGTCTTAATTTAGAAAGTCATATAGTTTAAGGCACTTCTGAGTGTTATGTCTAAAGCTTTACCCTGAATTCGTCCAATAAACGAATTCTTCTGGAAGTACTTGTATATAAAATATTTGTAATTGAAAGTTATGAATAAAATAATAAAAACTGCTTCGGTCAAACCGAAACAATTTTTGCAAAAAAATTTGCGCGTTAATGCAAGCAAAGCCAAACAGAAATTGATTAGGCAACCTGATCCCAGTACATTAAAATATTGAATGTGTTCAATAATTGTTTAAAATTCTTGATTTATTTTCTCTATTTTCTAAAAATTTCTTCTTTCAAAGAGCACCACTCTTCAAAGCTGTGAGATTTGTGTTATATCAGAATTCGGCAAAGTGCGTCCCATAGGTAGCATGCGAAACATATTATAAAATGTCATTTTTTCTTGTAAGTAGGTAATGTAAGAAATTCAAGTGACCCATACTAATACTCTCATAGTACATATTTGCCCATAACTCACAAAAGTTTGTCAACGGTTGCGTTATATCAAATGTGCAACACTTTTTTGTGATGCCATAGCTCTTTAAAATTATAAAGTACTTCACGCTTACGACAATATTTTCAAAATATTAAACAAAAAATTTACAATAATATTTTTAAATTAAAAATAATTAAGTTAATTTATTAAATTAACCAAAAATGATTTTCAAAATTACTAACAAATTGAAAATTTTATTGTAATAAAAAATAAAATTTAATGTTTCACATATTGCAAGCGGTCATATAGATGTGGCATGAATAATGTTTAATATTATTGTAATGCAATAACAATGTATTTGTAATGAGTCGAACGAAAAATTCAGATTGATATCGCCTTCGCTTTTTAAATAAAACTCTTAAATAACAATCAAATGCTTTATAAAAAAGAAAAATAATATTAATTTTCATAACAAACCAATAAATTTATGGAGAGATTGCGGAATTTTTAAAGAAAACTTTTAAAATTTTAATAATCAAATGAAGAAATCAATAAAACAAAATATGTTAAAGTTCATACAGCCTCCATCAATACTTTAAATATCCGAAATTAGACGAATATCAATATTACTTAAGAGATCATTTCACATCTCCCGCTTTAATAGTTAAAACATTTATCATAAGGGACACTGTTATATATTTTAAATTCTGTGACAATAAATTTTCAGAGATATTATGAAATTTAAATTACCTTCATAACAGCACATAATTATTTTGAGAAAACCCTATTTCAAATATGATCTTTAAGCTTCTAAAAATTAGACATAGTTTAAGACAAAATTTTCGGCATATTGTACGTTTACATAGGCCTGCTTTCAAGATTGCGCTAAAGTAATTGATATGCAATTTATATTTTAAGCTATAGTTGTTGAATTCAATACAGTATTAATGGAATTTAAAAGTCGTAGACTGAATCTATGTAGATCATAATCAACCGCATGACATATTTCATTATATTTCGCCCTTTTTATTGATTTTCCAGACTATATTCGCCTTAAATATTAAAATGGGAAAGTTGTATTAAAGGCCATTTTACTGTTAACCCTTGTATTAATCTCAGCAAAAATAATACCGTGTATACAACTTTTATTATGAAAGCCACACAATATAATCAAAGAAGAAAATCGAAAAATTCGAGCATATACTTCTCGAGCAATTATAATTGACTGTTTCTAATTAAATGATCGAAAAAACCTTTAACCCTAATATAATATAAGTCCAATTTTTTTGGTTATTAATTTTAAAATGTTACGTCCCCGCATTTTCTATGCATTTAATGAACATGAAATTGGTAACAAATGAAAAAATAAAAGAATTCCTAGTTGTTTAATTTATCAAAATAATAAAAACAATATATAAGATTCAAATTTTATTACCATACAATGTTGTCGTACAACATAAATTTAAAAAAAAAATGGTAGAAAAAGTTACAATAATTTAGAAGAAAGGAGCAAATAAATTTTCCCGCTTTTCACTTCTAAAAATTTTAGCGTTCGAACTGTTCGCAAGAGTGTAATTCTTTTATTATAATTATTAAAAAAAAAATTTAGAGTCTCGATTTGAAAGAATTTAGAGTTTCTAAACTTTTGTTTTTGAAGTACATAATATAATCTTGTAGTATACGGGATGACTTAGTAAGCTTTGCTTTATTATTTCAATTAAAATTGAAAAATTCAAAAAGTAAAAAATTAAAATAAAAAATAATCTATGTAGAAGAATTTCCGATTCCTAATTTAATAAAATTTTTTCCTTTGAAAAATGGAAAGAAATATTGAGCGTCTTGTTCTACAAGAACTACACGAAAACGTAACAGTTGGTGTTGCAGCAACAGTGAATAATACTGTGAATACAATAGCAGAAAAATTTTCAAGCCACAATACTCCGAATCAGGTGCAAAGCACTCCTTTAATTAAAAAACAAACTGACATCGAAATTTTTAAAAATATCAATGTGAATGTTGATAAACAATCTAACGTACAAAATGCTGAGCCTTTTATTGGAATATTTACGCCGTTACCAAATGAGCAATTCAAATTTAATGATTTGTCAAAACAAAATAATATTTTCAAAAAAGTGGACAAACTGAACATTACTTCCGATATAACCTCGGCCTTCAAACCACCTAATATTGCTGAACCAGAAAAACAGTTATCTAATTCATTAAATGAAAAAAATTCCATGGACGATGTTAGAGCTACGAAGACAATTGAAAATGTACCGGAAATCATTCAAACGAATTGTTCTAATAATATAATCGAAGCCTGTGATATAAAAAAAGAATCTAATGTTGACATTGAAATTACGAGAAATTTAGAAATTTTTTCACAATCTGCTTTAGAGAATGATTTAAAAAAGCGTATTTCCAAAGTCCAAGATCAACAATTTCTTTGTGTTACTTCTGATTTAAATTTAGAATTAAAAGCAAGTAATGATTCAAAATCAGATAGCATGCAGATTAGTAATTTGAGTTCAACAAAATGGAATAAGTTGAAGGATGAAAATAATAATTCAGATATTTTTGAATATGTTAATGAAAATTGCAATAATGACTTTAAAACCATGGATAGACAACAAAAGTGTGCGATACTTAATGATGATCCTATTGGAAAAAAGCTTGTTAATGAAATGAGTATTGATGTTTTATCAAACAGTATTGAAAATGTTAATCAGTCAAATAGAAATATAAAAAATAATATAAATTCAAATGAAATTAATAATCTAAAGATGAAGAACTTTGAAGATGAAATGAAAAACATAGTGTTGAAAAGAGAGGAGATGGAAAAAAAACTAAAAGATAAAACGGAACATGAAGAAGTTTTACTTACACGCATAACTGATAAAGATACGACAATTGCTAAAATGTGTTTGGCAATTGAGGCTTATGAACAAGCAATTGTTGAATTAATAGCTCAAAAAGAGGAAATTACACCGAATTATGAAGAGCAAATAAAAGATATTAAAGCTGAAAGAGATTTGAATAAACAACATTTAGAATCATTGGAAATAACTTTTTCAGATTTGCATTTAAAATACGAAAGAAGTAAACAGCTGTTAGTCAAGTTGAAAGCAAACGAAGAAGAATTACAGGCTGAAAATAAAAGAAATTTAGAAATTTTAGGATTACAAGAACAACGATACGAAAAAGTTAAAAATCATGCCATTCAGCAACTAGAAATTTCCAACAGCAAAATGGAGTATTTAATTAAAAATCATCAAATTGAAATTACAAAACTTAAAGTGTTACTAAAGAAAATCGAAATAGAAAAATCATCTTTTAATGAGCAATTGGAACAAATATCCAAAGAAAATAAAAATCTTCTGGAAATATGTGAAGAATTAATTTAAATTCATATTTTAATTAATATAATAAAATTAATTATAAAGAAAATTTTCCATATTTTGTTATAAATAAAAAATTCAGAATTGAGTTTGAGTAGATTTGAAGTTTTCCAATCAATACGGGAAAGCAAAAATTGCATTTTTATTGCAAAAATGTACATTCGAAATGAAAAGAAACAAATTTTTATAAGTTTAACTCCAGTTGCAAACCAATAAATGAAATCACTGCAAATTGACAGATGACAAAAGTCAAATTTGACATAATTTGATGACTGACTACTCGAATTTTACATTTGTATTGACATATTTAATTAAAATTTACAATACGCCGCGCCGCATATCATTTAATATCGTGACCGCTCGAGAATATTGTACATTAGTCATAATTTCTTTGCGTTTCCTTGTACGTCACAAATTTATTAAACTTGACCATCACTGAATATTTTAGTGTTCTTGTTTTTATTCTATTCAACAAAATTTTAAATTAATTTATGAAATTTATGCTAGATCTACAAATTATACAGAAAATTTTATTTATAAATTCAAAAATAAAGGAAAAGAGTAACAAATGACAAATGTGTTTACATAAGATTTGATTTTTTTTAAATATTTTATGAAAGCACTGTATAATTTATACCGCGACGTTAATTATTCATATAAATACGAATGAGTACTCAAAAAAATGTCAACGAACTCAATATTTGTTTTAGTTCGAGATGAAGTCATAAGTACAAGCCTAATTTTAAGTCGAACTGTAGGTTTTGTGTTCAATCAATATTGATTATTTATTATAGTTTAAAGAAATTTGTTTAAAAATAACTTAAGTCCTTATGAAGCACTTTCATTGTAAACATAATAAAATATTGAGAATAATTAACTTTCCAAGAGAAACTCGAAAACCAGAAGAATTAAAACTCGCCATAAAAAGTTAAAACATTCTAAAATGTTTTAAATGGGACCGTAATAAAATGATAGTGAATTTTGGTTTAAAAATCTCTTCAAGTATAACATATTTGTTTCGAAGATGTACCACGGGTTTAATAGGTAATCTTGATTTGCATTGAAATTTTAAGAATGAAAATACAAACATACTTTGTTTATCTCTTATTTATTTCCTTTGCTGTAAAGTTACGTAATTAAATATGCAGACAGGGATGAGAATACCAAAATCTTCGGTATATTATTTAAAAGGTACGAAACTTTGTAAAATTACAATTTTTACAAAGTGAACATTTAATTGTATCTTTGGAGTTTTTAAAATAATGAAATTTCTTAATAGCTTAAAAATTATTTGTTGTTGTAATCCTAAAGCTTACTGTATTCTTTCCGAAATAACATAGAATTATTTTTTTAGAAAATTATTAGCATATCAAGTTTAAAACAAACCATCGCTTACGAGGCTGAAGTGAAAATATTACAATTATTGCGTTGCTAATGTGGCCCAAATATTTGCACTTCAAGAGAATACAATGTAACATATGATATCCACAAACATGCACATATTTAAAATCAGGTGGTACTCTCAATTCCACATTCTATTAAATTAATATTTTTTTAAATAATTTTCGAGAATGAGAATTCATTGAACGCGTATATTCTAGCTTCTGTACATCCTTTAAAATTTTATATTTTGACAATCTATATATGCAAATTTGCCATAACAAAGATTCGTAATATTTACTAATCTTTTTATTCAGATTTTTTTTAAATCGTCAAGAATTTAATATAATTGCTTCATTTCATATACATATGTAAATGAATTTTTGGGGCAGGTGCAAAATTTCATAAAAGATTTTTCAATATTTTTTGTTATTCTTAATAATATTATCATTACTTTTCAAAAAGGATGTTAAAAACCATAAAATTCAAAATTAAATTATACAAAATAAAGAAAAAATAAGAAACAGAAGCTAAAAAATCTTTCAAAATCGCTAACAATTCTCATGAGATTAAAAATTTCATCTTCCTGAATAAATGCGTGCATTTTATACTTTTTGTATATGAATACAATAATGTAATAAATATAGATTTAGTAGAATTTTCAAAATTAACACAAAAAGATGAAGGTTTTTTACTTTATAACAAAGTAATAAAATAATTTCTAATCTCTTATAGTTCTTCAGTTATAAATTTAATAATTTAATTGAGAATTAGCAACATAATACAGAAGTTTGTTAGTTGATTTGTTGGCCGTAACGCGACCAAGTTTATTTTTAACTGTTCTAGTTATCGTAAACAAAATAATCAAAAAGCCTTGGTTATCATTATGGGGCTTTCATTTATTTATTCTAAATTCTTGTTTATTTTCTTAAAATAAAGTCCATAATCACAATTAATGGTTCATTGTTTCCCACAATAATGGCAAATAATAAAGGTTATCATTTTGCGCTGTGAATTTTACAATTATGTATGTATACCAAACAATATTAGGTAAATGTATAATGTGGTTTTTATGAATGAATAGCAATAATCTGCTTATACTTTCTACAAAAGTAAAATATACGTTAATAAAATAAAGACTTTACTTTTTCGTAATGTCTTCGTTTTTCTTCTAGAAAAATCCCATATATATTTTAAGAAACATATGAGCAGGATAAATGCTCTGAATCTAAAATTACAATAATCCGGTATGACTTGGCGATGGACTCTTTAACTTGGAGATAGGCCCTCTACTTTTGAAAATGAATCCTTTAACATGACATGTGGGACTTTTAATAGTTAGTGTGGAAAAAAATTTTTTAACAAATTTCAAATTGGAAAATTTACATAATTATGTTTTAATAAATATGTATGTACATTTAATTAATTTTGCAATTTAATTAAAAAATTTACAAATGGTTAGTAAAAATAACACAATGTTCTAAAAATTTTTTTTAATATACGGTTGAATTGTTAATGACCACTGCTTTACCCGAATTATTTTCTATTAAAATTTTATTTTCGCTTTCAGTATAACAATTTCCATTGTATATAAAGAACACAAGTTCATTATTGTGTAAATAATTGCTTGTGTTAGTGTTTTTCTAATCGTTTATTTTTCGGTTTTTTTTTTTTGCAAAAAAGAATTTTCGACATAAAGTATGCAATAGTGCAGAGTATCGTTGTAAAAATTCTTGTATACCTATTTTGAAAAAAAAAAAACTCAAAATACAGAATATAACAAAAAAAAAAACACATTAATGCAGGTGTCAATGACAGGACCAGCAGTGGAAAATCAGTTTTTCTTTTTGTTTCGATTTTGTGGTTATTATTATTGTTTGTTTTTCTGTATACCTATATAAACTGTTCCATGTCTTCTTAAATAATATTCTGCTCAACATGCTGTGTTGGATCTTGCATCTATAATACACCAAATTGTAAAATTTTTCAATTTTTAATTTAGTTACGAATTAATTATTTGAAATGGTAAAACTTTCATATAAAAGTTATTAAGTAAGTACAAATGTGTACATGAATTATAAAGAGAACAAAAAAAAAAACTTGGTTTTACCACGTATTGAAAAAAAATAGCAAAATTTTCTCGTTTTTCTATTTTGTTTATCTGTCATTTCTCTCTCTCGCTCTCTCTCTTTTAATATCTTGTAATTTCTTGTATTTTCGATTCTTTAAACAAAAAAAAATATAATGCTAAAAAAAGAGAATAGAAACGCATTAATGCACATGAACCTCATTGCAATGCAATGATAATTATTGGCAAAAAAAAAAATAGCAAATGTACGAACCCATGTTGTTGGGATGCTGTTTTTATTTTCCGATTGTTGGTTTTTTACTTACCTACTCTTGTTTATTATTGAATTTTTGTATACATACTAAATATTTCTAGCACATTAATGTCCACAGTGAGTTTTTTCTCCTTATTGTTTTTTTATGTTATTTTATGGTGAAAAGAGAAACAAACATACAATACTTATACCTAAAAAAGAAAAAATAAACATAAAATTTGTAATTTTTGTTAAATTATGTATGTAAGTACATACATACATACATATTTACAATTTGACATGTAAATAATAAGTTCATACGTGTAGTTTAGAGTAAAAACTAAAAAGAAAATTTTTATTTTTGAATGGACATGTGTGGGTGGTCGTTTGATAGGTTGGTGCGCTGTTCGTTTTCGATATTTTACAAATTACAATCTTGTCACGAATCTTTCCTTTTTTTTTTTATATTATTCTTTATTGTGATTTTCGTTTTCTAAATATATATTACTCTCCTTTTTAGTGATTTTTCTCGTTTTGCTCCCTTGGCAGATAATGTGTAAAAGAATACAAGACTTAAAAGGCGAAAAGAAAAATTTTAATAATTAATTTAAGTGAAAATTTTCGAAATTTTAAAATCTTAAGAAAAATTTGAGCTGTTTCTGATACATTCCTGATTTCTGCCATTTGTGGCACAATAATTCCGTAATTGTTCTCTATTTCCACTATTAACAAGTTTAAACTGCCTAAAAATATTTATTATGATTTTTCGGCAAATTCCTACACTCAATCGGAAAGAGAAGCGGGAAAAAATCTTCTTACTGATTATTTACAAAATAGCCCACTTAGCACAACTGAGTATTTGGAGTTATTAACTGGAGATGGCTTTGTAGAATATAGGTCATTATACCGTATTAACAATTATACAGTTTTCAACTACATCTCTCCAACTATTTTAAATTTTTTAAAATTCAAAAATTATTTTTTAAATTTTCTGACCAACATAGGATAAATATTTAAAACACGACCTTGAGTTATACGAGTATCATAATTTTCGAGATTTGAGGCAGGGATGAAATTAATTTCGAACATTTTTACGTTCTCCTCTAAGGTTCAAACAATTAAAATTCTTATTATTCAATTTAAAATGTACATAC